TAGCAATTGATTAATATTATTTTGAATCTGACTGTTTCATCAGATTTTATGACAGTGTTCCAGACAGTTCAAAATCGTTGCAAAATGGAATCAGCTCAATGAACTAAAGCTCTATGAAAATAGTGAAGGAAGTAACAAATCATATTGCAGTGAAACCTCCGAAGGTCTCTGTTTAGGGGACACCGTGTACAGGACAATTATTACAGATGCACCACCGGCCATGACACTTTCGTCCTGCAGTCCGTAACAGTACAGCCTTTGAATTAGGGCCGAATTATTTTATTTTATTTTTGCTAGGTATAACCGATCTCTAAGTTAATTTTTTTATGTCAACATAGCCCGGTCCTCCAAAAATTGACTTTAAAAGAAAGAAAAGTTATTGATTTTTACAAAAAGTTTGGGAGATCTAATGGACATAAGCTGATAAATTGAAGCTTACTCAAACACTTTTAAAGCTGGTAAAGTCGTTAAAAATATACATCCAAATCTCCCTTTAGACGACAAATTTCGAAAAAGGACTTCATGAAATTCTGGAACAGGAAGGCTCGGAATAAGAGTTCGGCATCATCTTCAGTGAGGACTAGCGTCGACCCAGTGCGGGTACAACAAAGAACGATATATTATTTTCGTTTTGTAAATATCTCGGGTATTCACGCAACCGTTCAATCGTGCACTAAATTTTTTTTTCAACAGCGAAGATTAGTGAAGCACGAAGAGTTGCTAGATCTGTTTAAAAAGTCCCTGCATGGAATTTCCATTTTGATCCTGCTTCGATCACCCATTTTTGATAATTTTTTTGCCCTTTCTTTTCTGATTCTTTTGAGAAGATTTACACTGTTTTACAATACTAAATAGTTTACGAAATAGCACATTTGCGTTACAGAATTCATCACTTTAATAAATTTAGCCCGGTTTGTCTGAAAAAAGTTTTATAGATTATATTGAACTTAAATTCCATCGAATTTGAAATTCGGACGATTCGATTCCAATAATGAAATGCTTAAGATTTAAATACAATATATAAAAATGAAATAGGCGTTTTAATAAAAGCGGTGAACCAGCTGTTTATCCTAAATTTACTCCAGCATCTTACGAAAGCCGAGGATCGTAGTTTATTTTAATGCTAGGACCGGCGGCCCGTAATCGCAGAAGGCTTGGGGCATGTCATCGCCGGTTAAAATCTCAATAAAACTCTTTAATTTTGAAAGAATGTTCTAAATCGGGAAAGTGCCGGCACTGACAACAAACCCCAAAATATTCCCTTCTTGGTTTCCTGTTAATATAATATTTTTTGTGACATTTTTTAAATTGAGAACAGTAGAAACACTGCATATCCTCTTGTCTTTAAGAAAGTTCACTGAAGGCATTTTTTTTTACATTTTAGAATTATTATGCTTTATAGCTTTTATATATTTCATTTTTATATGAATACCATTTAACTCAAAATTTTTTTAAAGGAATTTAATTTCACTCGGGTTTTTTATATATCTATAGTACATTTTGGGCAGGATTTTTGTTCCTAGAAAAATAAAACGGCCCCCGTCGCAATAAAGACACGATATATTATGAATTATCTATCGAGATGCAAATTTTTTCTTACTCTCCGTTTAATAAGACACACAAGAAAAAAAAGACGAATGGCTCTATTGCCGATTTCACCGTAACTTAAACCTTAAATGGTAAAGTCTGGGAGATGATAATGTAGTTCGAATGTTTTTGGTCAAATTATTATACAAGTAAATCTTTATATTTGTAAACCTTGTTCATTAGAACTGATTGAGAGTGTTTTATACTCAAGTTGGCCTTATCACTGATTTTTCAATACAAAAATTACAATTATCAAAGGCTGATAATCAATTAATTTATAGCACAATCTGTTTTGATTTTAAACATAATGAATTTATTTATGAATAACATAATGACTGAATTGATTATGATTTTTCACCGTACAAAAAACAAAAACAATGCTTTTTACGATAAACAAATAAACTGTTTTCTACGATATCGGAAAAATTTATTTCGATTCAGGCACCCGTCCTAAACTTCTAAATCTCTCGGGTTACAAAAACAAAACCTATACAATTTTTTTTTCATTTGAAGATTGTCAGATTTCATTGTTTTTTAAAGCTTGTTCGTTTTTTCTTAAAAATAAACACGATATTACAAAATCCTGGGATTATTCCTACTTAATTTCATTTTTTCCAGCTCGTAAATTTTATTTGTGTTATTTTTTTTTAAATGAATTTAATTTCACTGTTTTTTTTTTATATATATCTTGAGTACATTTTGGGCAGGATATTTTTTCGTAGAAAAATAAAACGGCCCCCTTAGCAAGAAAGACACGATATATTATGAAATATCCATCTAGCCATCTAGATCCACATTTTTTCTTCCTCTCCGGTAAAAAGACACACGCACACACACAATACACAAGAAAAAAAGACGAATGACTCTATTGCCGATTTCACCGTACCTTAACCCTCAAATTGTGAAGTGTAGGAAGTTATAATGTAGTTCGAATGTTTTTAGCCGAATTATTATGCAAATACATCTTCGTATTTGTAAACCTTATTCATTAGAACTGATTGAGAGTGTTTTTCTACTCAAGTTGGTCTGATCACTGATTTTTCAATACAAATATTGCAATTATCAAGGGCTGATAACCAATGAATATATAGCACCATCTGTTTTTCACTTTAAACGTAATGACTGGTTTGATTATGATTTTTCAACGTATAATAAAACAAAAACAATGCTTTTTACGATAAGCAAATAAACTGTTTTCTACGATATCGGAAAAATTTATTTCAATTCAGGCACCCGTCGTCAACTTTTAAATTTCTCAGGTTACAAAAACAAACTGACACTTTTTAATTTGAATTTTGTTTGATGTCATTATTTTGTATAACGAATTGATTCATATTTTTGAACACATAAATCCTTTTCAAGATAAGCAAATAAACTGTTTTCTATGATATCGGAAAAATTTGTTTCAATTCAGGCAACCTTCCTAAACTTTTAAATCTCTCAGGTTACAAAAACAAAACCGACACAATTTTTTGTTTTTTTATTCGAATTTTGTCAAATTCTATTATATTTTAAAGTTTTTTTTCCTTAAGATAATCAGATCGTTATAAAATACTGGGAATTTTGCAACTTAATTTTATTCTTTCCACCGTGTAAATGTTATTCGTATTATTTTATTTTGCAAGGAATTTAGTTTTTAATGATTTCACCCGGGGTTTCCTATATTCCTATATATCCAGGATACATTTTGGGCAGGATGTTTTTCTGAAAAAATAAAACGTTCGTCTTATGTCATTATTTTTTTAAAGCTTGTTCGGTTTTACCTCTAAAATGAACAGGTTATTACAAAACCCTGGGATTATTCTCACTTAATTCATTCTCTCCACCCAGTAAATTTTGTTCGTGTTATTTATTTGGAAACTTGTTAATTATTTAAGAATAGTTTTAAAGTCCCGTCGAAAGAGATATATTTCTGGAAAGAACTGAGTGTTTTTCTGTTTCAATTCTCCTTATCATAAATTTTTCAATACAAGAATTGTATTTATCGAAGGATCAAATATCCAATTATATTGAGATAGTACAATCATTTTTTCGTTGTAAACATAAATAATGATTTGATATCATCATATTTTGATCATATTTTTGGACACATAAAGCACACAAATGCTTTTTACGATAAACAAATCAACCGTTTTCTACGATATCGAAAAAATTTGTTTCAATTCAGGCACCCTTCCTGAACTTCTAAATCTCTCGGGTTACAAAAACAAAACCGACACAGTTTTATTTTTCATTCGAATTTCTTTTGATTTCATATTTTTTAAAGCTTGTTCGGTTTTTCATTTAAAATGAACAGGCTCTTACAAAATCCTGGGATTATTCTTACTTAATTCATTCTTTCCATCCCGTAAATTTAGTTGGTGCTTTTGCAAGGAATTTAATTTGTATTGCTTTCACCAGAGTTTTTTTTTTATAAATGTAGGATACATTTTGGGCAGGATTTTTTTCCTGGAAAAATAAAACAGCCCCCATCGAAAGAAAGACACGATATATTATGAAATATCCATCGAGATCCAGATTTTTTCTTTCTCTCCGGTTGGAAAGACACAAACACACAAGAAAAAATAAGACGAATACCCGTGAAATATGATTGACGCCTGGTTTGAATAACAATTAGCCGGTTATCATGGTTTCGGACGCGCGTAGTACATCAATTTTCTCGGCCCAGCCCGGCCCGTTATGCTCCCAGGGTTTCAGGACCTTTTTTTTTCCTTTTGGACGAGTCGAGATTGTCATTTTTCCATCCTTCCGCTCTGTCGTTGATGAAATCATCTCCGACGAGCGGAAAAATCATCTCATAAATTTCAGATTTATAACGGAAATCGAATAGAATATGGTCATCGATAAGAACGAACCCAAATTGAAAGTTTGCCTTGGAAACAGACCCTAAAGGGATGAACGAACGACACCGCAGGGAGATTTCAACAGCTGAGAGCGGATACAAAAAAAGACGTTTCAAACAATCGAGCCCTTTTGCATTCTGATGTACCTTTTATGAACCTTTTTATACACCATCCGACATATAAAGGGTCTGATAAAGCCATAAAAAATATTTTACAAAACTGGAATTTTACGAAACTCTGAGAATTTTCCCGAAGAATATAAGCTCAGGGTAACAGGTAATATTTATAAAAGGCAACTCGGTTATGATTAATTGACTGTTACTATATCAATTTGTTAGTCAATCGCCTACAAAGTTGTAAAAATTAGACTATTTTTGTTTCCTCTTCTGGTTTGCCTGACAAATGTTTCTTTGGTCTTTTTTTAATTTTTTTAACAAAGTCCGCCTGCCGTACAATGTAATGTTTCATACTGCAAGCCGACCAACTTGAAAACCTTTGAAAATGGGGAAGAATTTTGATTTTGGATCGAGAGAAAAACAAAGAAAATAAAGAAAAATAAAAGTGCTGAAATTAAAAATTGTTACTCAGGTGAAAGAAGTCCCTTGACGTTGCCGGGAGAATGATTGAAGATACACTTTAACGCTTTAACAATTTTATTACACGACTGAACACTTAGATAATTTAATATTTACAATAATTATAAACTTAATCATAGCACAATTACGAAAGAAATATTGCACAAATCGTATAAAGTGTAAAAAAAACCAACAAGCAGTCCTTCGGTATTTTGTCCGCCCGCGAAACATAACACGAATTTTTCACTAGTTTTATTTTAAAAAATCCTTGGTTTTGTCAAAAATCGTTTTTTTATAATTTGTCCAAGGCGCGAGAGTTGGTGAGCAGTTCTCTTGTGAGCCTCCAGACGTGTTTGGCCGCGTTTTCCAAAGCGGTCGGCGATTTCCCTTTGAAAAGGTCCAAGTGAGGGAGAAAGTAATGGGGGCATTTCCGACACTGCAGGCAGGAAATGAGCTGCATGAGTATGCCGCTGATTCTGTCTCCGAGACAGGATTCGTCCCATTCCATCTCCCTAGGATGTTTTTCGCATTCGTAGAGTAAAAGGGTTTTCAGGTGATAACCGGTGACGGGGTTACCGGGGAGTTCGAGGTGCCGGTCCCGGAGGGTTTTCAGCAGGCTGAGGCAGCGTCTCCTGCAGCCTCCGGCTAAAAGTCTACTTTCGACTTCGACGAAGGACATGACCCATGCGTCGCCTTCCATCGCGGACTGCTTCCCCTGCATCGCGGCGCATTCCTTGCTCAGAAGGTCAAATCCTTCCGTTTTGACTTCGGCGACCAGGTTGGGATGAGGCCAGGGGATGTGAGGCAGTGGCCAGTGGGCCGCGGACCTCGGCCAGACCCCGGAACACTTAAAAGAAGGAGTTATCTGAACGACGTACCGTTCTCTTATCCTCAGTTTGACTTCACTCGTGTCCGCGATCATTTTCACCGAGTCTCTATAAGCGCACTTATCACACGCCTGAGCGACCAGCGTCTGGAACCTGGAACGTATCTTTCTCGCCGACAGATATCCGGAAGCCGTGATGAACTCGATCCAAAGGGACATGCTCCGTTTTCTCCCGTCGCTCAGCTTGAGGACGGCACACCCGGGCAAAGATCCGTCGTCCACAAAATTGAACACCCCCATTTGGTTCAGGTACAAAACGACTTCGAACTCGGTTGGCGAGATGACGTCCAGACCCTCGTACCGGCCGTTGCATTCCGTCAGAGAGGATATGAATCTCGGCTCTTGCACCTCCACTTCCCGAAGGACGTCTTGAACTACTTTGCACACCTCACGGACCGTTTTGGCGATCGTAGTCTTCCTCGTCTGGACCCGTTCCCCGTAATACTTATTCAGCTGGTAAAGGACTTTACTTTGTGCAGCTAGCATATCAGCCGGCACTAACATCCTATTCCTTGCCGCTCCTTCTCATCACATAACCGGACCCGGACTGAGCCGTTCGGCCCATAAGGTCTCAAACGGATGGTGGGGAAAAGGTGTGGACGTGGGAGGGCCTTCTAGCACCAATCCACCCTGCCCAACGCCAATTGGCCACACCCAGAACAGGGATCAATACACTCCCAGGCTCCACCCATCCGTCCGCCCGTTCCGCTCCCACATTTCACAATGATTAACTCGGTCCCACAGCCGAGCCCTCCATACTCAAACACCGTCCATACATACTCGCCTCCCTTATCTCCTTACACCCTGTCCGATACCAGCTTCTTCTTACACATCCACCAACGCAACAGTCTTTCTCATTATTTAAATCTACTTTTTAACACTTTTTTTCTCAACCCGACAACACTAGGACACTTACCTTACACACCTTACAAACCAATGCTCTCATTTCAAACCGTTTTATATAGTTCTTTATAAAAGCTTCATCTCTTAATATTATTATTATTAATAAAGCTTGACAAGTAAAATAGAAAAAAACTACCCTGAACGAAAAGAACTCACACCAAAAAGTCTAAGGCATTATATGAAATTTTCATCAATGATAAAACAACAGAAATACGCGCTTGTTAACCACTTGCAATAAAAGGATAAGTAAGTTTTTACTGCAAGTGATTTTTATAATATTTTTTTTCCACTGTTCTTTATTTCTTTAGGCCAAATTAGCAAAAGTTGTAAATAGTCTTCTGCCACAAGGACGTATAATATCCTAGACATTTCCCCTTTTCGCTTTTTAACAATTTTAATGTACGTAAAATTATCTATTAAATAAATTCCATGTTCCAAGATCGTAAACATAGAAGAAAACACAGGACTATCCGAACAACCTTCTGAAATATCAGCATGGGGTAATCGGGTATAAAATTGAAATAAAAAAAGGAAATACAAAATTAAAATAATTTTATATAATAACATTAATATTTTTAAAAAAATTCAAATCTCAATTAATATGTACAATTAATTTTTGGAAGGAAATAAAAAAAAACACTTCAAAGGGATTTATTGCAAGTTCCTTAAAACACACAAGAACACAACTCTTCCTTCAGGAATATGACTTTGAAAAATTGTTTGCCCATTCTCTGAAGATTGTCAAAAAGTGTCAAAGTTGTCCAACAGAAACAGTTTTTACTGCAATAATTAAAGAAAAAGTCCCCTTTGGAAAAACCGTCCGTTATCATTAGATAGAAGCCGAGGAATTCCGAGAAATAATTTTTATAAAGTATAAGGACAATAACATTAATATTTTAAAAAAATTTCAAATTTAATTTAATATAATTAATTTTTATAAAAAACACATCAAAGGGATTTAGTGCACTTCCTTACAACACAAATCACAACTCTTCCTTCAGGAATATGACTTTAAAAAATTATTTGCTCATTCACTGAAGATTGCCAAAAAGTGTCAAAGTTGTCTAACAGAAATAGTTTTTACTGCAAAAATTAAAGAAAAAGTTGTCCCCTTTGGAAAAAACGTCGGTTATCATTGATAGAAGCCGAGGAATTCCGAGAAAATGCTAATTGAAATAATTTTTACACAGCGTAAGGACAATAACTTTAATATTTAAAAAAACTTCAAATCTAATTTAATATAATTATTTTTTATATAAAACACATCAAAGGGATTTAGTGCACTTCCTTACAACACAAAACACAACTCTTCCTTCAGGAATATGACTTAAAAACACATCAGTGCGCATTCTCTGAAGATGGTTAAAAAGTATCAAAATTGTCTAAAAGAAAATTTTTTTTCGGCAATAATTAAAAAAAGATTCGTCTCCCTTTAGAAAATAACATCCTGTTTTCAGTAGATTGAAGACTAGGAATTCTGAGAAAATATAAAAGTCTAAGGACAATAACTTTAATATTTTAAAAACTTTAAAAAATCTAATTTAATGTTACTAATTTTTATTTTAAAAAATTCAATGGGATTTGTGGCAACTTCCTTAAAACACAGTTGAACACAACTCTTCCTTCAGGAATATTACTTTAAAAAATTATTTGCTCATTCACTGAAGATTGTCAAAAAGTGTCAAAGTTGTCTAACAGAAATAGTTTTTACTGCAATAATTAAAGAAAACGTTATCACCTTTGGAAAAACCGTTGCTTATAAGTGGATAGAAACCGAGGAATTCCGAGAAAATGCAAATTGAGATAATTTTTATACAGTATAAGGACAATAATGTTAATATTTAAAAAAAAAACTTCATGTCTAATATAATATAATTAATTTTTATTAAAAAAAATCAAAGAGATTTATTGCCACTTCCTTAAAACGCAGAAGAATACAACTCTTTCTTCAGGAATATGACTTACAAATAAATAAGTGCGCATTCTCTGAAGATGATCATTATGTCTTAAAGAAATAATTTTTTCGGTAATGATTGAAGAAAAATTTGCCCCCCTTTAGAAAAAACACCCTTCCGTTATCTTTTATTATCCCTACTGAAGTCTAGGAATTATGAGAAAATACAAAAATTAAAACAATTTTGTATAGCGTAAGAACAATAACATTAATATTTAAACAAACTTCAAATTTCATATAATTGATTTTTAAAAAAAAGGACACTTCAGTGCGCTTGTTTGTAACTTCTTTAAAACACTGAAGGACACAATTTTGTTTCCTTCAGGAATTTGTCTTTTAATAATGGACTGCGCATTCTCTGAAGATTGTCAAAGAGTGTTAAACTTGTCTCAAAGAAATAGTTATTTTTTCCAATAATTAAAAGTTGTCCCCTTTGAAAAAAAACCGTCGGTTATAGATAGAAGACGAGGAAATTCTGAGAAAATACAAATTTAAATCGTTTTTCTATAGTGTAAGGACAATAACATTAATATTTTAAAAACTTTAAAAAGTCTAATTTAATTTAATTAATTTTTATTAAAAAATCACTTCAAAGGGATTTATTATAACTTCCTTAAAACACTGAAGGGCACAATTTTACTTCCTTCAGACTTATGACTTTTAAAAAGTGACTTGGTATTTCTCTGAAGATTGTCAGAGTTGTCGAACAATAATAATTAAAGAAAAGATTTTCCTTTCGTGAAATCAGACATTCATCATCATCAGACTCTATTCACAACTTTTTCTCGAGTAACTTAAATGTCTAATTAACAGTTTTAAAACTAATAAAGCACTAAGTCCGGACAGTTTTATAAATTAAACACGGATCCGTAACTGTAGAGGCATGAGGCATTGGTTGTACTCAATCTCCAATAAAAAGTTCTGGGCTTCTACTTCGCCGTTTGGAATACTTTGTCAGAGCATGACTTACTCAGCGAATCTCAGGTCGGCTTCAGGAAGGTATATTCTGCACAGGATAACTTTTTTCCCTGTCCAACCTTATAAATCTCAAGCTACACGAAATGAGAAACAGGATATATTGTTATTTTGTTCGAAGGCAGCCTTCATTTCCTTAGATCATTCTTCTCTATATTTAAAGCTTTTCAATAAGGAATTTCGTCCAAATTTATTAATATCTCAAAGACATTCTGCACCTTCAGCGGTTCAGGATTCGGGAGGCATCTCGGATGGTTTCAATGTGGGTATAAGTGTGAAAAAGGGTTGTGTCTCAAGTCCCGTACTTTTTTCTTCTTCTGTGCCAGTGGTACAAGAGAACCTGAATCTGTTCGAGGTGAGTTTAGTCGAACCCCTATATTATTTGTATTAAAAATATTTTAGATGTTTTCATTTTTTAAAGTTTGGATAATGAGGAAGAGCGGACTGATGAATGAATGGTGGCCTCAAAAAGTCGCCACAACTTTGTTTAAGTAGATTGTAAACATTTGTTTATTTTGAGTGGGTTGCTTTTTGAAACTGATATCATCTGTTTTACTCCTTTAGAAAACGAAAAATCTTAAAATCTACTCATTCTCTAATAATTACAGTCGAAATACATAAAAACAATATGCTTCAGTATAAATACATATTTACAAAAACTTTTTTTTTTTTCAAGGCACCCCTTGCATATAGGAATATGCAGAATATATTTACATTTTCTCCGTTTACCCACGTGACTTTCTCTATTATTATTGTCTTCATTATTCATTATCGTAATGAAATGATTGATGCTGCCTTGCTCGGTATCTAATGAATTATTCATTAATCTGGAGGAATTTGAAATTGATTGTTTCATTTGTTAACAAATAAACCCACATTTTGACAACGGGACGTTAGTTTTTTTTGCGATGATGCCCAAATTAAAAAAGAAATCTCGTGGGCGATAATATTCATTCTAAATGAACTTATTGTGTGAGAAAATATGCCCTGGAAGTTACATTAAGCCCGATTAAAAATTAATACACTCAATCAATAAAACCCCGATCACTCGTATTTATTTTACATAATAACTTGATGAAAGATTAATAGTTTACTTAAAACGCAAAAACATTAATAACTAGTTGTTTACCTTTACCCTCTTTATATTGAAAATAAAGATAATGAGTTCAATTTTATCTTTTCCAGAGACAACTTGTCGACTGATTTAATTAATTTTATTTTTTAAATGATTTTCTTTGATGAAACAATAAATTTAAGTAAAATTATTTTTCTTAAAAGCATGATGTTAAATCGAGATCTCGCCCAAGCAGATGCCAACGACAGTTGTGGCGTTACGTAGTCCAAGTCCTTGGTGGCTTTACCATCGCCGATTGTCTTCACCAATTTAGGGCCACCGGAAGTCTCGATCGAAGAGAAGGTATTGGTAGACCGCTACTTTAGACTATCGTTTTATTGCTCTTTCCGCCATTTAACGGCTTCCTCGATAGGGAGTCATTTCTAAACGGTAATGTAAGGGTGAGCTTTAAAACAGTCATCAGAAAGCTTCGTGAGGATAGCCTAGTTTCTAGATGCCCCACATCAGCTTCTCTACTACTGGAGAAGCATCGAGTAGAAAGACTATACTGACTCACTATCTCGCTTAAACACTTGAACAATTACATCACATAAAAAAGTGCTGGTTCGGTTTATCGCAATCAAATGACCGGGACCATCGAGAAGACGTGTAGGACGCTTTGTTTCATGTGCCATGCATGTACCACAGCCTTTTCAAAGAGAGTTGGTATAGGGTGAAATCAACATCCATGTCCGAACTGTGCTGAGTTCCTAAGGTACATTCAGGAAGTTCTTCTGAAAGCTCCATTTATGCGGGTCAACTTCATGATAATGCTCAACCG